TGTGAATCATTATTTTAATAACTGGCAAGCATATTAAAATTCAAGAAGCATTGTTATAGAGCAGTTCTTTCCATTGCATCCCCATCAATAATCATGATAGCTAAAGAGAATTTGGCAGGTGTTGAAAAAAACTCTCAACAGAAGTGGAGGGGCCATGTTTTTATTCAGTTCACATCTATATCAAGACTGGCCTCTATTCCTCATGATAAGTAAGGTGATGCAAGCATCTCATGGTCCCTCAAGGACCAGAAACTCATGGTGTCATGGTTGACTCTGTGTCAACTTGGCCAGGCCACGGTTTCCAGGTGTTTGATCAACCCCCAGTCTAGACATTGCTGGAAAGGCATTTTTTAGATATGACTAAAGATTTAAGTCAGTAGACGTTGAGGAAAGCAGATTACCCTCCATAATGTGTGTGGGGGTCTCATCCAATCAGTTGACAGCCTTAAGAGAAAAGACAGGTTCCCCAAGGAAGAAGGAATTCTGCCTCGACTGCCTTCATACTCAAGACTGCAACATCTATTCTTGCCAGATGTCCAGCCAGCCTTGCAGATTTCAGACTTGTAAGACCTCACAATCTTGTGAGCCAATCCTTAAAACCTCTCTCATTCTCTCTCTCTCTCTCTCTCTCTCTCTCTCTCTCAACACATATACACACACATATGGGCTGTCCTATTGATTCTGTTTCTCTGGAGAACCCTGACTAATAAACATGGTAATCATGTAACCTATTATTTGGAGCAGCCTAATTTGGGTGTTAGAATAAGTAAGCAAATTTACTTCATCCATATTAATCACCAAATAATATTAACTGTGAGACAATATTGACAGTTATTATTACAAGGAACCGAGTCAACCAGTAGATGCATATATAACAGTTTATGAAGAGATGGTTCCAATATCTTGCCCAAAATACTTAATGTATACTGTGGCTACCACTGGAGGCATGCATAACCTTTTCCAAAGGCGGAACCATGATAAACAGCTCTCTTAGAATTAGAAGTCTTCTCATATTCTGATTCCTTGATTAATCTTTAATACTATAAAGAAAAACTGATTTGAGCCGATCCATAACCCTGGACTACTTCCACTTTGCAACTCAAATCAAGATTTCAAGCAATGCCAACGTGTATCACGGATGAAATCAAAACACACCATTGACAATAATGAGAAATGAAGATTTTTTCCTGCAGCCAGTAAAATTCAGTTACAAATCACTAGTAATTGTCCTGGCACAAACACAAAATCATGGGAAACTAACTTCAAATATTAAGCCAGAATATAGTATCAACTTTACTCAGGGGCTAATTCCAAATGTAATTACTGCATCATTACTTAAAAAAAAAAATCCCTGTAGTATTACATTCATATTGAAACCAGTCATTTGCAACCAGCCCCAGGTAAACAAAGGAAATGCAGTGAGTTCAGTCTGGCCACAATTCACATAAGGGCCTATGATCTCATGTCTTCTTCTCTTAAGGGCAGCTGTGGCCCAGCTTTGAACTGGGTTGGCCATACCCTAACCTGTAGGCTTCCTCATGTACGCCAGCTCATCAGTGTGGCCACAAGGACTGGCAGGAGCCCAGAAATATCACTTGCACAGCATTAAGACTCTCTTCTGCACCCACCAGCTCCACCATTCCCAGTCTACACAGATCTGGATGCTGTAAATCTTAAACATTTCATGGAGAAAGCACATCAATTTGAAAGTTCATCTGCGCTGTAAGCACTTTAAGATGGAAAGGTATTCTGTACTCCTGCCATAGGAAATAGCAGCCAGTGGCAACAGTTTTTTTTTCCAGACCACCTAGCAGCCAACCATGGCCAGAAACCCTCTGTCCCCTCACACACTACGGGGGTCCCTGCTTTCTGTGGCCCCCCAACCTGTAACTGTTGCTGAGGAAAGAGCATTGCTTATGATTCATACATGTGGCTTCC